CACAAATGCCATTGATGAAGGATCTATTTTCATGACCTAAAGAATCTCCTCACCCCCAAAACTATTAGGTTGTATTTCAACAAGAATGGAGGGCATGCCCTTTTTCATCTTTTTTTTAACCCCTAACTCCACCTGTCATTCCCTGACCCCGTTCCCTGGAGACCACCATTCTCTATGCTTAGTTTAGTTTGCTCAGATTGCATGTGTGAGATCACGCTTTCTGTCTTTCTGTAGCTTGTTTATTCACTTGACCATAGCACCATCCACATTCATCCATGTTGTCACAACATAATTTTCTTCTGGTGTTCCAACAGATGTATGTACACTTGTATACACATTCATTCACCAATGCTATGTAAATAAACATGAATGCAGATCATCTTAGTGCCTTTATTTCATGTGGACAGATGTGCTTTGAGTGAGAAATGTCCTCCATAGACTTGGGAATTGGCCACTTGATTCCCAGTTGGTGTCACTGTCTAGGGAGGTTTAGGTGACGCTGCCTTGCTAAAGGAAGTATGTCACTAGAGGTGGCCTTTGAGATACACAGCCTTACCCTACCTTGTCCAGTTCCCTCTACTTGTTGCCATGCCTCCCCATGTTGGGACTCTTACCCTTCGGAAACCATAAGCCCACATAAAAAAACGCTTCCTTCTGTAAGTTGCATTGGTCGTGAAATTTTATCAAAGCAACAGAAAAATATTTCTAGTTCTAATTCTGTCATGGATTTTTTTTTTTTTTTTTGTGGTGAATAAGTGCATAAAATATACCCAATGCGTCTAACTGTAGCTAGCATGAAACTCGATATGTAGACCAGGCTGGCCTCAAACTCAAAGATGGACATGCTTCTGTTTCTTGGGTTTAAGTGTGCACAACCACACCCAGATGAGCTCTTCATTCACTATCTGAGGGACCGCTACAGTTTTCCATAATGGCTACACTAACTTACCTCTCACAAACACTAATCTTTGTTCTGATAGTAGCCCTTCTACACTTTCTGATTATAGTGACTTGGTAGGGACAATTCAGTCTATGCAAAAACATTTCTCCATCACCTCTTCATCTTAGTGGCTTTTGGAGCTGTGGTGTATCTCGCAGTGTACTCTTTTTGTCCAAACAGCTTTACTTGCAAATGTTCATTGTGCAATGTGGTGTTGGTCTGGCTCAAGGCTCTGGTATACAATCAATACTGGACCCTCACCAAAACTCCTTTCGGTGTTGCCCCTGGAGATCCTGCAGCTGATTCCACAGGGCCAGTCCCTTAAGACGCTCCAGCAGGTCACAGATAGGGTAATGTCAGGGAGTGCTAACTCCAAGCCCTGGATGTGTGCCAGGGTGGTAGTCGAGTTGGTCAGTCCAGGCTACTGGGACCATGCCCCTCAGATGAGGAGCTGAGTCAGCTCTCCCACCCATGGTGAGGGTGGGGCCAGCTTTCCCAAGTACCAAGGCGGGAGGGGACCAGGGACAACTTTGCTCCCAAAGCTGTTTTTCAGTCAAGTATTTTTAACCAGTGACAGAAATCAAACAATGATGGATAGATGCGGACACACATATACACAAACACACACACTCACACTAAATAAATGTAAATAAAACAGTATGTTGGCAAAAAAGCAAGGCCCCTATAATGCCAGCTTCTTGGCAGGCAGAGGCAGGAAAACCAATCAAACATTTGATCTCCGAGGTTTGAGGCCAATTTAACTAACCTAGAAAAACTTCATCTAAAGAAATAGAAGGGCAGATGTTATGTAGCTCTGTGAAAATGTTCCACTGTGAGGAGGGTTCAAGCCCAATACACATAAACAGACACACACACACACACACACACACACACACACACACACACACACACACACACACAGATTTGAATATACATTGCTCTGAAGACATACATAAATGATCAGTAAACACATAAAAATGTTCAACATAAGACATCAGAGAAATGAAAAACGAAACTACAATGAGGTAACAGTTAAGACTGTTGATTTTTTAAAAAGAAAGAAAATGGGTTGGAGAGATGGCTCAGCAGTTAAGGGCACTGGCTGCTCTTGCATAGGACCTGAGTTTGATAACATGGCAGCTCACAACTATCTTTAAGTCCTTCTAGGGGATCTAATGCCCTCTTGTAGCCTCTGCAGACACCAGGCATGGAAGAGGGCAACACACAAAAACATATACATACACACATACGCAAAAGTGTAATTTTTAAAAATCTGATTTTGACAATTTCTACATTGTTCTTTTTGCCTTATAACCGATTGTTGGAGGCCTTTATTTTCTAAAGACAGGTCTAATGTAATGTCCCGTAGGCTGGCCTTTCTATTATCAGAGGATGACTTGGTCTCTCATCTTCCTTCTCCACCACCCTAAATGTTGGAATCACAGGCATGCCTTGCCATTCCTGGTACCACGTAAGTTTTACACTTTGCTGGTAAGCACTCTACTAGTTAAGCTACATGTCTAGTCAAGAGGGTTGATTTTATAGCTACAAATGTAAACTACTCTTTTCCTATAATTATGATCAGAAAACTGGTATATAAAAGGTGTGCACACAAAGGCTGGGATGCGCACATCTTTAATCCCCAATGCTCAAGTCAGGAGACAGAGGCAGGCAGATCTCTGTGAATTCAAGGCTAGCTTGGTCTACAAAGATTTCCAGGACAGCTACCTAGAGATCCTATTAAAAAAGACAGAGTGAAGGTGGGTATACATACAGAAATTCAAGTATTTTTAAGCTGAAATGCTCAAGAAAAATGTCTTCCTAATGAGGTTCAAATGGGTAAAATTATATAATACATATTACAAAGTGATAGAGAACAAAAAAAACCCAAAACACTAAATATAAGGGGATGAGGAAGGACGGAATATGAAACGCAAGTTTTAAAGAGTATTCTTTGGTTTTGATGTTGAATAAGTGCATAAAATATATCCAACACTGTAAGTGTAAAAAATTAGCCGGGCGGTGGTGGCGCACGCCTTTAATCCCAACACTCGGGAGGCAGAGCCAGGCGGATCTCTGTGAGTTCGAGGCCAGCCTGGGCTACCAAGTGAGTTCCAGGAGAGGCGCAAAGCTACACAGAGAAACCCTGTCTCGAAAAACCAAAAAAAAAAAAAAAAAATTGAATGTGAAGCCCCACGGTTTCCATTCTGAATGGCGATTCTAACTATATAAAATTATTCAGTTGTATAAACGTTGGGACTGTTTAGTTTTGGTGTTTTTATTTATTTGAAAGTTTGTAAAAATCAAAATTTTTTAAAAACTAGCCAAACTGTGTGGCATTGGCATAGGATATATAGATAAAAGAATCTCAAAGTTCAAAATGAATCCCTTACATGTATGGACAACTTATTTTGTCCTGAAACAATTCACTGAAGAATGTATTATTCTACAGTTGAGAAAACTAGATGTCTACATGCAAATAAATGAAGGCTGGGCCCAGACCTTTTGCCATATACTAAACTCAAAATGGAAGCCATGCATGGTAGCACATGCCTCTAATACTCAGGAGGCCAGAGTCAAGAAGATGGCTTGAGGACACCCTGGGCTACAAGCAAGTTCCAGGCCAGCCAGAGCTACCAAAAGCCCTTCTCAAAAACCGAGGCTGTCAAGGTGGCTCAGCAGCCAACGGCACTTGCTGCCAAGCTTGATGACCTGAGCCTGATCCAAAATCACACCTGGTGGAAGGAGAGAACTGCCTTCCCAAGTGTTCCTCTGAATTCCGTGCCTGAGGCATACAAGTAGGACACAGACACAATTTCCAGGAAAAAGAAAATAATATGTTGTGGAAATAATGAGAAATCTGGAACCCTTATTCATTACTGGCAGAAATGTAAAATGGTATTGGGTAGCCACTGTGGAAAACAGTTGGAAACTTCACAAAATATTAAAAACAAAGAGTTGCTCCAAGCAGTGGTGGCACACGCCTTCAATCCCAGCACTCGGGAGGCAGAGGCAGGCGGATCCCTATGAGTTCAAGGCCAGCCTGGTCTACAAAGTGAGATCCAGGACAGGCACCAAAACTACACAGGGAAACCTTGTCTCGAAAAAACCAAAAAACAAAAGCAAAGAGTATGACCTAATCCACTCCTATTTGTACCCAAAATAGACACCAGGAACTTATGTGTTTCATAATGTCTCAATATTAGAATAGTAAAGCATGCCCATCAACCTACTAACAATAAATGAATATGCAAAATGTCTATACATATGTCACCCACCACCAAATTCAAACTGATATATCCTCATAATTGAAGGACTCTGAAAACAACTACAAATTATATTTCTATGATTTTATGATTTAGGTAAAACAGCCAAATTCTTTAAAAAAAAAAAAAAAACTAACCTGTGGAAGAGAATTGCTCAAGGTATGGGCAGAGGGGTTTATGAGGATTGTTGAGTTTGTTTGGACCTAACAGTGTAAATGTACACATGGCACTGAACTCCACTCCACTCCCCTGAGGGGGGAAAAAGGTTAAAGTGAGTATTGTTGTCTGCACTCATCATCCCATTACTCAGGAGACTGAAGCAGGAGAGTAATTTGAGCTCTAGAGTTCAAGGACAGCTGGATAACACTGTTAGACCTTGGTTCCTAATCCTCTCCAAACTAATGAAATCTGTAAACTTGGTTATGTCAGTGGTTACATACAGTGAGCTGCATAATACCTGGAATCTTTGGTGGGTAATGACAGCCAACAGTATTTCTTCTTCTGCCATCAACATTCCCCTCCCAGATCTAGCCACCGTCCCCAAGCAAGCATACGCACGCACGCACGCACGCACGCACGCACGCACGCACGCACACAATGCACTCAATGCACTCAATGATCTACCAATTACCTATGTATTTGGCAAAGGAGTACACATGTAATACCTTCACTAAATGATGCAAACAGTTTATGTGCTCCCATACTGACAGATTAAAAACACATACATTCTCTAAGCACAAACTCATTGTCACAAATATTCTGCTTAAAGATAAAATTTCAATTAATAACCACAATGAGAATTTAGTTATTTAATACAACCACTAATCTAATGTTATCAACAAAATCTAAGCAATTACATCACAAAACAAGGGTTATAGTCAGCAAACATGCATTAATAATCTATACAACTTAACATCACCCCAGAAAAGGAATTGGATATAAAAGTTCTTATAATTTTGGTGGTTTTTCAAATCTTATGGCACAGATTACCAAAAAAATTGTAAAAACAGATTTCAAATATTTTCAATAAAATGGTAAAAAATTGAGTAAGCCTTTAAGTTTTCGTACTTGGCTCAAGTTAAAACATCAAGCTGGCCCGATCTGTCAAATCTGACAGAGAAGTATTGATAATGACTAGACAGACTTGAGTTACAATGGTACTTGGAGCTCTACTTCATCAAAACCCTTTTGGGTTAAATTTCTCAATGCAAGCATGTCTTTGTAAATACTGTGAGAATATAAACTTGGAGGCATATGTAGAAACAGGACAGAAATGAAAAATAAGACATAAGTCAGTATTATTTGGCTCCGAAACTATCAACACTGTCTCAATACAAAACGAAGAATATCTGAATGACTACCAATCGCTGACATTCTTCTACAGAACTGTCTTATTATTATCAAAGCAATGTTCACGCTCCATTAACCTGCTTCTACAGAGTGTAATTAGCAGGGCACTAAATTTATAAACAAGTGGCAACTCAAAATCAAAAGAACTCTTTAAACAGAAGCAACCTTTCTTTTCCATTTTTAGCTCTGAATTAGGAAGAAAAGAATTAGGGGACGCTTTGAACATATCTTGTACTTTTCATCAAGGCTAAAGTGCAAATATCTCCGTATCTCTGGTATTTTAATAGGGAGAAGCATCGATCATATACAATAAAGGAACTGAACAGTAAAACTAACACAGAAGAAAAAACTCTTCAATGTACAACTGAGGAATTCATTTTATCACCAATCTAAACTTTGCTTTCTTCAGTGAAATCTGTAAATGAACCGTGTTCTCAAAGAACTCTGTTTGATTCTCTTCCCATGACCAGAAATTCTAAACTTATAGGGAAAACAAATAAGAAAAAACAAAAAAACAAAAACATTGCATGACAATGGACACCAAGTTCATAAAGAACCTCTTTTTAAATGAGATATTATGTAAGAAAATACCATGAAAATAATAATCCTATGAGAATTGTTTAAGCACAGTAAATTTGAGCCCCGGTCTTCATGAAGATACTACAGTTTATATAGAAAACTATAAATATACAAGACTCCAAGGGAAAAAAGTCAGAATACATATTGTCTAACATTCTTTAGGCTACAAAACTTTTGAAAGGGGGAAAGATGGCTGATGGCCAACTGAATCTTAAGCCAGGTGTGGTAATGCACACCTATAACCCCGTACTTGGGCAGGAGTATCACTCCAAATTCAAGGCCACCCTGGACTACTCAGCAAGTTCCAGGCTAGCCAGGGCTATAAAATGAGACCCTGTCTCAAAAGATCAAAAACTGGAAGGGAAAAAAAAGGGGAAAAGAACACAAAACCACAAAAACCTCCTAGGTCCAAGTGTCCTCCCCAAAGGAACTATCCTTTCTGTGGCATATAACTTATTTATACTATTAAGGGGCAGGGGAGTACTGAATTACTAGAGTCTTAAATAAGGGAAAATGAACCTCAAAGTGTAAACAAGTCTGGCTCAGAAAGAAAACTGAACATCTCCCAGATCTGTCCGTGAAAGAAATGATGGTGCATCTTTAGCATTAAAGAAATAGGCTATAAAAAGTTCAGTCTCAGAAATGATTTTTCAAAGCTCATTTGTGCTCCTTGGTGGGTGCGTAATAAAGTTCCATGGGCTTGTTCACTTTCCAGTATTTCTCACTGACCAATTCCAAAGAAAAAGAGCCATTCAATACCTAAAACAAAGAGAAAGGCAAGATGATTAAATGCACAGCGCTCAGTAACAGTGAGACTAAACTGACAGACAGACAAGGTCACAGAGCACTGCCCACAACAGAACAAAGGACATCATCACACAGGCAGTCAGTCATCTGCTACTTCTCCTTCCAGGCTCCCAGGGTTCTTATTAACAGGCCCCACACCACTACTTGCCACTTACTTCCGAGCTCACACTTTCACCAGTCCGTTGATGAAAATACTCACCGTGAACTGGCCACTGGCTGTCGCTATGTAGATGGTGTACTGCTTCTCACTGGCTGTATCGAGGTTCATCTGGTTGGATTCTCCTTTGCTTCGAAGTTCTTCTAAAGCTAACCTCACAGCCAGATACTTGGATAAGTGATCAACAGTAGCATTACCTGAAGTCTTTATGTATCTAAAAAAATAAGGCATCATTTAGTTTCTAGAGTACATCAAAAACATTCCTAAATTATGGAGCTACAAAGCTATGTAAAACATCTATGTACCAATTATTGAAAATGAATAGAAATTTCCTGCTCTATAAAAAGCAAAGACAGGCTATGAAGGCTCATTGCCCTTACCTTCTGTAATACATGATACAAAGCAACAAAAATCAAATAAATATACAGTGTACTAAATTAAAAAAACAAACATTAACAACAACAAAAACAGCACACCTTCCAAGCCCGGTTACTAGAACCTGTTGGCCGCAGCAAGAAGAGCACTAAGAGGAAGAGCAAACTGTCTTCAGAATGAACATTCTGGTTCTGGAGGCTGAAGCAGAACGGAGAACTGCCGATCTTGGGATCTTTTATTTATTTATCTATTTGTTTTTTGCTTTCTCAAGACAGAGTTTCTCTGTGTATTCCTGGCTGTCCTGGAACTCACTCTGTAGGCCAGGCTGGTCGGCCTCCCTGGCTGATCTTGGGATTTTAAAAGCATGATATGCTATTCAATTACTCATCTGACAAATATCTGCTGTTTATTTGCACTCGCTGGCAACAACAGTGAGTGGTGTGGAAACTCATCCTTGCCAGTGTAAAATTCAGAGCCTATTCAGGATTACCTTTTTCTTCATCATCTATGAAGGTTGATCCTTTGTGAAGTGCTTCTTGTCTTGGGAAGAATACAAAGAAAAAAAGGGAAGGGAAGAAGTGGGGAGAAGAGGGAGAGGGGAAAAGCAATCTAGGCAGCAGTACATTCAGACTGAACCTTAAAACTAGGATGGCAAATACTGATTTCATTTCAAATACAAACTTTCCAGTGAAACTCCAAATGAAGCATTCTGAAACCAGGTAAATCTGAAACTAATTCCCACCCTCACCTTGTCTGTGCACTGTCATCCTTTTCCATAAGTGTTGGATGGGGCCTGAACACTAACTCAATTTCACTAGCACCATCCATCACTGGATCAATTGCCACCGTTGCATTGTTATTATCAAGTTCAAGGCCGGAGTCGTCCGAGGTTTTGGTCCGTTTGTTACTAGGCCCCGCTTCCTGATTGCTGTGTGTGGAAGCGTTGCTACAGTGGGAACTGTCCCCGTTGTCCTCCGCTCCACTGCCGTTTTCAATCTGCTGCTTCTTGCCTCGCTGTAACCTGGTGAAGAGGGAAAGGAAGAAGACTTACAGTAGCAGCTTTAAAGCAGCAAACTGGAAGCGGGTTTTATACTTTACAAATTGTCTGCTTTTTAACCTTCAGTTTTACTTTATGTGTATGGGTGTTTGGCCCACGTGTCTGTACACCGTGTGTGTGTGTGTGTGTGTGTGTGTGTGTGTGTGTGTGTGTGTGTGTGTGTGTTGCCGCAGAGGCCAGAAGAGGGTGTTGGACTCCCTGGAACTGTAGTTACAGACAGTTGTGAGCTGCCAGGGGGGTACTGGGAATTGAACCGAGGTCCTCTGGAAGAGCCATCTCTCCAGCCCTGAACTTTTGAATTCAAAAATTAAAAAAAGAAAAGAAAGTACAAGGGAGAAAATTTGACTAGTGAATTTGGTGAAAAATATTGTCACTATTTTTCACATGTCCCTCAAAGTTCTAGACAGCTCACTATGAACACATATAAAAGATTTAAACAGCAGGGCACAGTTGTGCACACCTTTAATCCCAACATTCTGAAGACAGAGGCCAGAGACTACCTATAAAACTAATTTTTTTAAAACAAGGATCACTGTGCTCCTCGTGAGACTGAAGTGAAGAACTACTAAGCCCTTCCAACTCAGGACTATGTTGTACTCTTAAACTAAGTAATCCAATATTTAACACTGACCTAACTTTCAGAAATATAGTTGTAGCTCACAGACTAGAACTCATCTTTTAACCTTTTACAGCAGACTGTGTTTATAGTATATTCAGAATATGAATGCGGAGGCCGCAATTACGTGATCTGGGCTGATAACACCTGAAGGCACTCTGCAGTTCAGCATGTGGCAGTCAGTAAACCAGTGACCTTTTACTAGCATCTCCTATTTGGAAAATGATGACCAACCCTGAAAACTGACTAACGTGGTAACCAAACCAGAGAACTAGACCAGGGATTAGCACAGTGGTGACACAGTCCTCACACTGAATGTGCTACTTCTGAAATACTATTCAGATCGAAGAGGACACCACGCACGGCTGCGCACACCTTTACCCCAGCACTCAGGCAGAAGCAGGCTAACCTCTGTGAGTTCAAGATCAGCCTGGTCTACATAGCAAGTTCCAGGTAAGCCTCGAACAACCTCTCAGCTACCGAAGAGGAAATGAATTTAGTCTAAAATTCAACAGTCCAGTCTAAGTATGGATGGACGGTATAGATGAAGTCATCTGTAGACAAACTACTGTACTGAAAGCTGAGCAAAAACAAAAAAGGATAGTGCCAACACTCCATTTGAAAGAATTAGAGAAATGAAAACTTAATGAGTCAACTTTGAAGAATGGCTAATAACCAAAACAAAAAAAAAAAAAAAAAAAAAAAAAAAACAAGCAGACTCTCCTGAAATCCATGTAAGAAAACCATTAAAAGAGGAAAGAGAGGGCTGGAGAGATGGCTCAGAGGTTAAGAGCACTGTCTGCTCTTCTAGAGGTCCTGAGTTCAATTCCCAGCAACCACATGGTGGTCCACAACCATCTGTAATGAGATCTGGTGCCCTCTTCTGGCCTGCAGGGACACATGCAGGCAGAACACTGTATACATAATAAATAAATCTTAAAAAAAAAAAAAAGAGAAAAAGAGAAATAAATTGTATTAAATGCTGTTAGGTACAATGAAGTCTTCAACTATATCGACCATCGAATTGCGTAATTAACACAAAGATCACTAATTTTGTATAAGGACATTATGACAGGGTAGTAAGGATCAACAGCTCACTAAAGGAGACTCAAACCAGACATGTACACAGACAATCCTCAACATATTTACTCTACGCAGAAGATGTATTTTATATTTATTATTATCAGGTGTGCGTGTGTGCGCGCGCGTGCGCGCGCGTGCACAAAGGGGGGAGGGAGAGAAGGGGGGAGAGGGGGCTCAAGTATACAAGTCCAAGGATAACCTTTGGAAGCTGTTTCTCTCCTTCCAATGTGTATTCAATGGATCTCACAAGTCCAAGAGTCTAGTATTCTAAATGCAATACCCTGGAAGTATGTATCATACTTTAAGAAAGGAGAGTTGTACAGAACAGCTACTTCTCACTGCATTTCATCTTACAGAAAAGGTCGAGTCAGTATTTAGAGGGATTTGAACATGAGCCCTCTCCTCTGCGAGCGTACCTGTTCATGGCCTGTATCTTCAGGCCTTCCTCAATGCTGTGGCTGAGCGCCTGCTGGTTGTTGTGCTTGTTGATCCTGGCTAACACCCTCTCTTGATGGGCTTCATACTCGTCACGACTTGGATAAATTTTGCTGATGAGTGCATCGAAGTTTGGGTCCGGCCTTAGTGATCTTTTAGAAACTAATTTTTTCCTACAGGTAGGGCATTCTTTGTTGCTAAATAAGAAGAAAGAAAATGTAAACATGACTGTTGGACTAACAAAAACAGCCAATTTCTAAAGTTATCTTTACTATCACAAAAATGTGAAATGGTTAACCAAATCTCCTTGAAAATTAAATGAAGCAGGTTAACCAGGATTTCAAAAACCTTAGCTGATACACTCGTGTGGGGAGGGGCTGTGAGCAGGGTACTGGGGCTTACCCATATAATCTCAGCACTTGGGAGTCTGAAGCAGGAAACTGCATAGGAACCCAAGGCAAGTCTGAACCACAGAGCAAGTTCCAGACTAGCCTGGGTACAATGTAAAAAAAAACAAAAACCCTATCTTAAAACACAGAAAGAAAGGGGGGCGGGGGACAACTTCAACAATTAGAACCCAGACTCTACCCTTTTTAGGAAAGGTTCCAGTTCCCATACACTTATAGGCAACGTATTTCCCAAACTCCAGAAAGCGCTGCTATATTACAATCTAAGATCCAGTAATCACTCATTCCAACATACCCACTTCTAAGGGCTGTGATAATGCAATCTGCACAGAACCGATGTAAACACTCCTTTGTAGTCATGGTGTTCTTCAACATATCCAAACAAATCGGGCACATTAATTCACTGTGTAGACTTCTGGGTGAAACCACAATTTCCAAGCCATCTGTTATTGCCTCCTGTAAAAGAGTGACTATTTAATCTTTTTTTTATTATTGATAAATTCAAACTTATACAAGTATTGAAAATCATAAATGTACCATCACCCAAGTCACCACCATGGTCAATTTTGTCTTAGCTAAAATATTCCTCCAGGCTCTTGAACCCTACCACCTCTGCATTATTGAAATGCCCTTGATTCCAAGGGGGTGTGTGATTGAGAGAGGGAGGGGAAGGGAGGGAGAGAGAGAATGACTGACTATATATTAATGGAAAATAGCCTGCCTGGTTTATGTGATGCTAGGAACTGAACCCAGGGCTTTGTTGTGCTAGGGAGACACTACTATGAACTGAGTTACATCCCCAGCCTAGAATTATAAAACATTTTGAGGCACAGCATGACCTATATAACTTATAAAAATGCTTTAAATTTTCAAAAGAATTCTTAGGGTTTGATTAGGCCTAACCTCCACATCTCATAAGTATCAGTATAAGTCAACCAGCTAATATGACCAGGACTACTAAGGACTGCAACCTGGAATTATAAGCCTTTTCCTCACCTAAACTGCTTTTGGTCAGCGCATTTTATAACAAGAAATGAAACAATGGACCACAGCTATAATTTAAGCATTTAGGAGGCAGAGGCAGAATAGTCAGAAGGTTCAAGGTCATCCTCAGCTACAATGTGAGTTTGAGGCCACACTAGAATATACAAGATTGTCTCAAAAATTTAAGTCCAATGAAAGTATCTAAGTTTTTTGTTTGTTTGTTTTTGTTTTTGTTTGAGACAGAGTTTCTCTGTGTAGTTCTGATGCCTATCCTGGGTCTCACTCTGTAGCCCAGGCTGGCCTCGAACTCAGAGATCCACTTGCCTCTGCCACCCGAGTGCTGGTATTAAAGGTGTGCACCACCACTGATTGGTGAAAGCATCTAAATTTTAACAGTTTAAAACATATCAATTACAAAACACTTTTGGGGTTGGGGATTTAGCTCAGTGGTAGAGCGCTTGCCTAGCAAGCACAAGGCCCTGGGTTTGATCCTCAGCTCCAAAATAACAAAAAACAAAAAATACTTTTGACCCTCCAAAAGTCTAATTCTACAGAGATCTTACAAGAAGTAGTCAAGCAAATATGGAGACACACCTATAATCTGAGTAACGAAGGCAGGAGAATTATGAGTTCAAGACCAGCCTTGGCTCTATAACAAAACCCAGTCTCAAACCAAAAAAGTGGTGAAGTTCTCAGGCTAACTAAGAGGTGATTTAAGTTGTAACAAATGAGAAATAAGTCTGTATTATCAAATTGTCACTGAAAATGTTTCTCTGCAAAGATCTGTTTGAATTCCAATGCAGAATTCCAGCTTGCTAGAGTCCTACCCCCACTGCTACCCATTCTCTCCGTGGCTAGGGTTGAGAGCGAAGATTACCCAACTCTAAAGCCAACTATATATATATCATACTGGCTCCTACAGGCTGAGACCAGCACTCCAAGCAAAAGTCGGGGGTTTCCAGCACTATGTTCACTGGCTACCAAACCTGTTCCTTATTTAACATGGTCCAGTCAATTATCCCACAGTAATTAGAGACACTACTCCACAAAGGTCTAAAGTAAAATGTTTATGTTTATAAAACACAAAACACTAAATTATGTTTCTGTAACTAACACTTTCTATATTTTCCAAACAAATACACTTTTCTCTGTATTATTATATTCCAAATATATTCTTATTTTTGACACACAGTAATTGTTACATATTAATGAGATAAAAAGTAACATTTCAAAATGTGTACAGTATCAGGTTAGGGTGGCATGTCTTTTTTTTTTTTTTTTTAATGTTAGGAATGTTCAAACTCCTCTCTAACATTAGGACTTGACTTGGGAATTATCAGCAGCCCTGTACTGAAAAAACTATCAGAGAGCACGATGATGATAACCAGGTAGTAAGTCTGTTCTCCCCTCCCTCTTTAGACTACGCCTAACAGACTCCAGCCCTGGATAAACTAACATCTGTTAGTCAGGGCTTAACTGTGTAGTGAGGGGAGAGGGACACACTGCCACGGGACAGACACATGAGGAAAGACCCAGATGAACAGCACTGACAACTTACCAGCAAGTATTAAACACTACTCAGCAACTGGTCAACCTAACTCAGTCTTCTTTTCTTTACAGTGCTTTCTCTTATCCTACCTAGATAATTCCTACCACTTAAAACAGGTTAAAGAGCCTCATTTCCTCGCTAACAAATTAATCCATTTTCTTCTCTCCTTTCCAGGAGAAAATGTGTCCCAAATGTACATCCTTCCACTCCTTCTCAAAGGGGTCCATGTTGGTTGCTCTCTCTCAGGCTTCCCCTCCTTCCCTCCCTCCCCTCGATCAAAGCAGTCCATGAGATTATTAAGAGTGGCTCAACATCAAACGCGAATAAAGCACCCTAGAGTTGTCTAAGAGGAAGAGGATAAAGACACCTGCCACTCTGAAAAGTTAATTCCAGTTTCTGTTCTGTTTCTCTGTTCTCCTGCACAAATTGCTAGGAAAGAGCATTTACTCACCTCTTGTCAAGTTTCTATTATACTCCGTTATCACAGCATAAGCCAACGATAAGAACACATCATGATTACATTCATGCTTCAACCGACTCAAGTGACTATGATCCATGACAGTGGATCTCAACCTGTGGGTTGTGACCCTTCTGGGGGGGCAAACGACCCTTTCACAGGGTCACCTAAGACTCTCCTGCACATCAGATATTCACATTAAATTCATAACAGTAGCAAAATTACAGTTATGAAGCAGCAATGAAATAATTGTAAAGGTGGGGGGTCACACCATGAGGAACTGTATTGGAGGGTTGTGGCACTAGGAAGGTTGAGAACCACTGAACTATGAGGCGAACAAGTGTTTCTACTAAATCCAATCACACTGTTTCAGTCTATCAGCAATGTGAAACACATTTACTATGCCCTGGTTCTTTAACATTTCCTTTAGATTCTGAATCTTTCTCTCAAGTTCTCGTTTTCCTTCTTTTTCTTCTGAATGCTCTTCCTCAGTCTCCTTCACTGGTTCTTCACCTGTCACCTAATTTCTAAACATCACCATAAAGTCTGGATGAAATGACATACTTTATTCATCTCTCTTAGTTCTCATATCCACAGTTTTAGAATGTACTGACAATCCCAAAAACTTTACATTGTTTTTTTTCCAGACTCCAGTTAGCACTTCTGCCTGTCCAGTCCACACGTAAACTTAAAATGAAGAGTTTTAAGTGTGTTTACTTCCAAGCTGCCATTCCTCTGATTCTTGGCATGTTGACCTTCTCAAAACAGTCCCTCCTCCTTATCCCATTATTTCCTTATTACTGCAAAAGAGACTATCCCTTTATTCAGTTTCTCATATATGTAATTTATGACTATTGAGTTATTTAGTCCTTATAAATTTTGTAGGCTAAGGCCACATAATTCACTATTATTCCCCTAGTGCCTAACAGAGGCTGGCATGGAAGTATGTAACTTACTTGTTCAATGAATGAAGTGTCAGCCAACACATGATTCAGGACCACTATTATCTAAGTTTAATAGTGTTAAGTTCTAAGTTTTCCTTTTCTACAAAGGTATCCCAGTTTACAAGGACCCAGTTCCCTAAATCACAGTAGTCTATATTACCTGAGGTGTTCGTTGTAATTCGTACAAACTGAGTTCCCATGTTTTGCTTAATGGTTGAGTTCCATTTGTCTGCACAGCTTGAGACATTGCTAGGAATAAAAGGAGACAAAAAGATTTAGTATTTGAAAATGAGGTGTTATGGTCCTAATGTATATGTGTTCCCCAACTGGTGTCCAAACTTTACAGTTTAGAAAGCAATAATAACTCAGCACTCGGGAGGAAGAGGCAGGTGGATCTCTGAGTTCAAGGCCAGCCTGGTCTACACAGCTAGCTCCAGGACAACCAGGGCTACACAGAAGGGTGGGGGAAGAGGAAAGCAATATATCAAAATATACCCCTCAGACTTCAACTGAGAGCAACTGGGAACTAGCAAACGCAGGCAAGGTCTTTTTCTCTGAAGTTACTTATCTATACCTAGGATTGGTCCCGTCAAAGGGAGCTCAAGTGCTTTCAAATACTTTGGTTTTTGTTGTTGTTGTTTGTTTTTTCGAGACAGGGTTTTGGCACCTTTCCTGGATCTCACTCTGTAGACCAGGCTGGCCTCGAACTCAGAGATCTACCTTCCTCTGCCTCCTGAGTGCTGGGACTAAAGGCGTTTTCAAATAAAGAATGAAAACCAAACACCACATCTATACCCCAGAGGAACCTTGTCTAGGTTACTTACTTACTGTGTGTTCTTCTGCTTACTCCCTCCCCCCCTAAAAACCATTCACTGCTCCCCTAAACTGTATATATCTCCCCACTTCCCTTTCTCCACCATCAGGCTCTTCTTTGAAGTATACTCTCTCCCCTTTCAATGCCCAGTATCAGTTTGTCTCAGCTGAACCCACAACCAGGAAGTTTAAAATAGAAAACCTAGCCTCCAACAGATTGAGGTGATCACATCAGACAAATACCCTTTGAGGGAATCCAGAAGCTACATAGAAGGCTCTATAGCATCACTGGTCAGAGCAAAATAATCAGCCACATGGAAGAGAATTGGAAAATTCCAGACTACTTCTTGTCATAATCCCTATTCCCTATATAGAGCCACTATTAGGAGAGAAACCTCTAGTTTCTAACTTCTCTCTGGGAAGGGAAAAGTAGTACACTCTGCATGTCCCCAAGATTCAGCTTTTCTGGGGTCTACCCAAAGAATCAACTTCTGTCTAGCTAGCCTACCTCTGAAATGCTAACAAGACTCAGGAAGCCCAGGAAGGCTCAGTGTAATTCAGACAGAAACACACATTCCCTCTTCCTGGCTGGGGCAGGAAGCAGTGGTCTAATCTAGGTCAGAAACACCTATAGTCTTGCCTGTCTTCAGTGCTAGAGGGATCTGGAATATCCCCCCAGTTGTTCAGGACAAAGCACGCCAGACTAGAGAGGCCTCAAATCTTCTCCTGCAGAAGGGTCAGACTGAAAACAACAGGCAACAGCTTAATCTGATACACAGAAACCAAGAAACTGAACAGGGAAATACACTCCCCCCACCCCCAAAGGAGGACAAATCACCAGCAAATGACTCTGCTTAACTGACACATGATTTATGTACCAGAGAATTAATAAAAATACTAGTCATAAGCATGTTCACCAAGCTCAGGAGAACAACAAACACAAAAAGTTCAACAACGAGAAAAACTAAAACCACAAAACTAGATAAACCGTGGCACTAAAAGATGAAGTATCTGACCAAGCAAGCAGAAGAAAAGGGTCAGCAGAATGGGGTTTCATGGAGGAAGCAAAGGAAGTCTATAATTCACAGGACACTATGGAGAGGACCAATGGCTGCATTATGGAAGCTCTCGGAGGGACAAAGAAAATAGGAACAAAACCTCAAAGAGAAAAGATGGTCTCTGGTTCCTAACTGCCATGATATGCACAGCTCTGTTATTCTGCCACTTCCATGACAGACAGACGGACACACTTCTGCAACCATGAGCCAAAGTAAATGGTTCCTGCCTTGTTCTCTCAGATGGTTAGGCCACAGTGACACACACTAATACAGGAAGTTGGTACCAAGGAAGCAGGGTCATTGCAGTGAGAAAACCTGGTCAAAGGGTCAGTTAGCACCTTGGAACTGGTTTGTCGGAGAAGCTAGCCAGGAAATGTCTACAGCAATGTAAGCAGAGAAATTATAAGCAGATTTACCTGGTAGGAACTCAAAAGTTCATCACACTAACAGGAACCTAAAGGGCAAAGGTGAAGCTCATGAAGTTTCAGATTAGAGACACTCACGTTACATTCTCACAAGGACGTTGTCTATGATGTCTCTGTGTTTAAACTTTATTTCTTTACTGGTTTATTGAGACAGGGTTTCTCTGTATAGCCTTGGACTGTCCTGGAACTCCCTCTGTAGATCAGAGGGAGTTGGTCTGTCCTGGATCTCGCTCTGTTGACCAGGCTGGCCTTGAACTCAGAGATCCACCTGCCTCTGCCTCCCAACTGCTAGGATCAAAGGAGTACCCACTACTGCCTGGCATGTTTAAGCTTTAATAAAGGCTAAAGAGTGACAAGCTAATATTGGCAGAAAAAATTTTCAAGACACAACAGCAATTCAGCATTTGTTACTGTTGGCCACTTTTTAGCTGAGTTTTTAATGAGAGAAGTCAAAGGTAGAACAAAAAGATTTGCAAAACATGTAGTCTGCCCTGAAAATGAGCAAAGGAAAAGTGTAGACAAAGGTGTGCATGAACCATGCTGGCTCTCACCTGCAATCCCAGCACACAGAAGAAAGACTGCAAATTCAGGGCCAGGGAAATGATTCAGTAAACGGCCACTAAGCCTAGGACACAGAGTGGAAAGAGAGGATGAGGCCCACAGCTTGTCTTCTGATTTCCACACATGCCACAGTGGCAGAAGTGTATATATGCACGCGCAAACACACAGAATAAATAGGTTTAAAACGAATTTTTAAAAAAGATTATGCTGGCGGTGGTAGTGAACGACTTTAATCCCAGCACTTGGGAGACAGAGACAGGCGGATCTCCGAGTTCAAGGCCAGCCTGTCTACAGTTCAAGGCCAGCCTGTCTAAAGAGTGAGTTCCAGGACAATCAGGGCGACACAGAGAAAGGCTGTTTGGAAAAACAAAAACAAAGCCAAAAATAAAAAATTTAAAAAGGGGGGGGGTGGGGACTGGTGGTAGCACACGCATTTAATCCCAGCTATTGGGAGGCAGAGCCAGGCAGATCTCTGTGAGTTCGAGGCCAGCCTGGTCTACATAGCGAGATCCAGGACAGGCACCAAAGCTACACAGAGAATCCCTGTTTTGGGAAAAAGAAAAGAAAACAAGATTACAAACCAGGCAGTGGTGATACACGCCTTTAATCCCAGCACTGGGGAGGCAGAGGCAGATGCCACTGTGGCATGTGTGGAAATCAGAAGACAAGCTGTGGGCCTCATCCTCTCTTTCCACTCTGTGTCCTAGGCTTAGTGGCCGTTTACTGAATCATTTCCCTGGCCCTGAATTTGCAGTCTTTCTTCTGTGTGCTGGGATTGCAGGTGAGAGCCAGCATGGTTCATGCACACCTTTGTCTACCTCTCTAGCCTGGTCTACACATTGAGTTTCCAAGCCAGCCAGAGCAACAGTAGGACTCTTTTTCCAAAAAGAAAAAAAAGGGGGGGGGGGCAACAAATTCAAAGTCAGCCTGGTCTGCACAGCAAGACCTGCAGGGGCAGAAATGGGGGGGGGGGGGGGTTTGGTTAAGATTTTAACGTTAAAAAGCCACCAAGCATGCTGCACTGGGATAGCAGAAAAGAACCTTAGGAACACCCTAGGAACTGACAGAGCCTACCCAGTGCAGGCTCCAAATTGCAAAATTTTAACTTTTGAAAGATTTTTCCCTTGGGAAGACTGCAGTACCATACTCTAACAAGGACAAGAGAATTCTTCATGATTCAGAAGCCCTAGTACTCAGAGTCCACTTGTAACCATGGTCTAAGGCAGTAGTTCTCAACCTGTGAGTAACAGCCCCTTTGGAAGTCAAAGGTCCCTTTCACAGGGATCTCCTAAGAACTTCGGAAAAGATATTTACAATACAATTCATAACAGTAGCAAAATTACAGTTATGAAGTAGCAACAAATGTAATTTTATGGTTGGGGTCATTTTATTAAAGTGTCACAGCATTAGGAAGGTTGAGAAGCACTGATCTAAGACAACCAAGGCACAGATAAAGCTGGTGACATGCCTGATACCTCATGGTACTTTTGTAGGCATGCAGATATTTCCACCAAGATTTCACAGTACGGCTTATAAGGCCAAGCAATCAATGCATGGTAGGGTCAGGATCCATGCAGGCAGTCACACAATGGGCAACATATGAAACCCTGAGATCCTGGAGTTGCCAGGAACATGGAACATCTACAGAAGAATGCTGAGGATAGCTCAAGTGAAGTCCAAGCCCAAGAATTAGAGCATGTGGGATGCAAATGAGAAGACTGTACTGCCCAATACCTTTGGAGCTCAAACCATAACACTCCAGGCCCCGGATGCTGGATACGGGCCTATAGGATTTAATGCTGCCCTACTGAATAGTCTTGCTTTGAGCCAATTCTTCCTTGATAATCTCTCATTCCTCCCTTTTGAAGTGGGCCTGTTTACTCTGCCACTGTATAGTGGACATTTAATTTAATGTATGTACATTTGTGTTCTGACAGAAACAGCTTAAGAAAGGCATTTATTCTGGCCCAAAGCCCATCATGTCAGGGAAGGAATGGCAGAGGGTTCAGTCTGTGCAAGCAAAAGCTGACTCAGCAGCTGCCTGTTACACTACACTCACCAACAAGTAGAGTTGGGGCTGACAGCACAGCTGGGCTCTAACTCTCAAGGCCTACACATAGGTGTGCAACCAACATGAAACACTAAGTACACAACACATAGTGTAAGTTTCTCCTTAACTGACATATAGAACCAAAACTTTATACACATTCATTGGCATTAGCCATAATAGATTGATACACATCTATAACACCCTTTTAAAGTACAAGCTGTAGCACAAAATGACACTTTATGCAAATTAAAAGCCCAACCACCTAAAAATTACCCCCACTCAAAAAAGGCAGCTTTTCTCAAGCCACTTAAGTTGACAACCAACATTAACCATCAACTCTTC